CTAATCTCTTCTCTGGGATCGTAATTGCATATATATTTAAATTACTGACTGAATGACTAGATTTTAAGTATTGTACTTATTCTCAACTGTCAATATACCTGAGTTTTTTGTGTGTATGAGGTCTGACAGGGATAAGATAGGGCGAGGAAAACCTAAGTTGCCTCATCCTTTTGACATAGTAAAAATCTCTCTGTCACTCTCTATTTTTTCAAAGTTTCTCTCTATCTATCTACTTGTCTATCTATCTATTTATGTATCTATCTACTCCCCCCCCTCTCTCTTTCTCTCTCTCTCTCTCTCTCTCTCTCTCTCTCTCTCTCTCTCTCTCTCTCTCTCTCTCTCTCTCTCTCTCTCTCTCTCTCTCTCTCTCTATCCCAATTACTATCCATGATTATATATCCTTTTGTCTCTCTCATTCTCGTACAACACGCTCTCTGTATCAGCCTTACGGTAGCAGTTGAGGTCGAGATCCGCCATCGGGCCCTCCCCCCGGACGGTCCACTCGGCCTCGAGGCACACGAGGGCGACGCCCTCCCTGCCGTCCTTCATCCGGAACCCTCGCGGACACCTGAGCGAGTGGCTGCGTCGGGGAGACCAGGGGTGGGGGATGCATTATATTTGATGCACAAAAACATGTCATTGTTGATTTGGAACATTTACCATGTATTAAAAAATGATCTGTGTCTGCGTATATCATTCTAGAAATAGACAAGATATAGAAATAAGTCCTTTGTGTGTATCATCGGTATACACGGTATACAGCTGGCAAATAAAGAAGTGAACCAACAAGTAAACAATAAATACCAAACAACATTTTTTTTTGTTTTTTTTGCTAATTATTTTTGGTTTCGCAAGATTTACGATTAATGTTTCAGTAATTTTGTGGATAATATCGAGCAACCATGTTGTGTTTTAGATTTACATGCTGATTGAGGAAGCAGGTTTATACACACATATAGTACATAGTGGGAAGAGGCAAAAAGATGAGCGTTTGTGGCAGAACTGGTGGCCCGTCGGAGGCCCTAATGCAAATAAATGTGTTTGCCACCCTTTAGAGTATCCCTGTTGAAGGCTGGGAATCCCTGGCATAAGAAGGCAGATGTTTATGTGTCTGTGTACAGAGAGATGCGTCCAAATCTGTTACCTGAAGAGATCCCCTTCCATGATCGTGTTGCTGAAGGTCTTTGATGGGTAATAACACGGCGTTTCCTGAGCTGCGCGGGTGAAAGGGGGATTTTAAAGGGACACATCTTTGCCTTATGTTCTGTATACACTAATGTGAGTGACACTATGTGAGTTCAGACATGAAGTCTTTCTTTTATTCAATAAGGAAGTTTGGTGCAGAGAACTAAATGTGCTTCACTGAAGCCAGCGAAGGACTACTCACGGGTGCACTCCAGAGTGCTGTTGTCAGCGACGACCAGCTCTTCAGAGTGCCACTCTCCGTCCTGGCAATGCAGCGTTGCCACAGTGCCACCGTGTGGAAACGCATACCCGGCTTCGCACTCTGCCGTCAGGTGCGTCTCATTGACTGTGAGATTGGCACTGATGGCCGTGACCTGGGGCTCTTCACAGCGTCGCAGCTGGCAGTGCTCGCCCGTGAACTGGTCTTCACACTGGCACTGGTTCGGTGCCACGCATCGTCCGCCATTCTGACAGCCCGGGCGTCCACAGGAAGCTGCAAAATATGTTCCTCAATATCTTACATTTGCAATGGCGTTGCATTGTTTTGCAGTGTAAACCAAGATTATTTTGACCGACTGTTTCTAAATCCTTAGCGAGTGTATACGCAAGAAATGTTGCATAAATAAAATATATACAAATAATGGTATTACCACCATGGGGCCAATGAAGACAAAAAGAAAATATCTTGGTGACTTACGCTGACACCTGAAGTCGTCCGGGAGGTCCCAGGCACCGTCCCTGCAGGGTGCCACTCCTCCAGGCGCCGTGCCCGGGGGAAGGACGTATCCTTGGTGGCACTCCACTCGCAGTTCGTCGTCGTCGGTGCGGGTAAAGCTAGCCTGCGCGTCCGGGAACGAAGGCTCAGGGCACTCTCTCACCTCGCAGTTCGTGCCCCTGTACCCAGGGCTGCACTGGCACTGCCTCGGGGCTATGCAGGTGCCTCCATTCTCACATCCACTTCCGCAGTCAGCTGAAAGAGAGAAGTTGTTTACTTTAAGTATGTTTTAAAAGTTGTTCTGCATATTCTCAAAGCATTTAATTTCATTGTTAATGACTGTCCATTCATTACATTGTTTTGATATTGTACACAACAAAAACTTTGATATTTTTTACCTACACATGGTTCACTGCATTAAGCTTGATTTGATGTCATGAAATATAAACCATTTCGACACCAAGAAGACTAAAGGCTTTTGATAGCATATGAAGTGTGTAAATGATGATTAATGGACTCAAAAAATAACTGCTTTTATGAAACATGATTTATCTTTGGGTAAAGCACCTTCATCGCGACAATGATGCAAGAAACATGGACACTGGTTTGGTCTGTGGTAAGTCCTAAAGAGCAACAAGGAAAATATTTCTTATAGTGGAAAAAAGTACAACAAATGAGGACAAGCTGAAGGTATGATTCAGCATGATCATAGAGCGCTCATGAGTGCCCTAGTCACTAAGGCTGCCCAAGCCATCCCTGATCCCGGATGAAACTCGGTGCCAATATCACCCAGGCGGATCGTGACCTTGATTTCCAAACTGAATCAGTGAGGCCTGAACTGCTAACGAATGCCACCAGCGCTGTTGTCAGTAGCGTGTCACTGGAAACAATGCTATTTATTGGGGGGGGGGAGAGAAAGGCCTGTCCAGAGGCAGCATGAAAGGAGGAAGAGTAGATGTGTTGAGGTGAAAGCCAGAAACTTGGCTGTTGGCGCCAGTAAAGGGAGGGATATGGTTGATGCGATCAAGAAAGGAAAGGTAGACATAGTGTTTGGACAGAAGTAGCAGGGGCATCGGCCATGGATTCAGATTAGTTTACGGCTGTGTGGGTGGGAGCTAAAATGATATGTTCTTGTTATTGACATTTGCGTCATCATTGTTACTACTACTAAAAGTATCATTATAGATATAGTTATTGTTTTTTGTTAATTTTGTTGTTATTGTTATTGATAATGGTATTAGTGTTTGTCAATAACATCACCATCATTTTTTATTCTCGTGATGATCTGAATATGATCCTCCTCGATCATGTTTACCTTTGCCATTCTAATAGCATCAAGTGCTCGTCCATAATAGTTAATAAAGAGAGGGTGGAGAAGTCTCAAACGTCACTCCGCACAGCCTGGAAAGGGCTGGGTCATGCTGGTCGGAGTCCCTGCCCTCGTCGCGAAAGCAGGCTGCTCCCGCCCTTCCGCTTCCCAGGGGGCGCTGCCTGCCTCAGCGACCCCGAGACCTGTTCCTCAAATAAGAAATAAAGCGTCATGAGGAGTTTTTGTGGTCCTCCCGCAACAGTCCAAGAGAGGATTTTATACTTACGCTGACACCTGAAGTCGTCCGGGAGGTCCCAGGCTCCGTCCCTACACAGAGCAGCTCCTCCAGCCGCCCTGCCCGGGGGAAGAACGTATCCTTGGTGGCACTCCACTTGCAGTTCGTCGTCGTCCGTGCGGGTAAAGCTAGCCTGCGCGTCCGGGAACGAAGGTTCAGGGCACCATCTCATCTCGCAATTCTTGCCCCTGTACCCAGGGCTACACTGGCACTGGCTCGGGTGTATGCAAGTGCCTCCATTCTGGCACCCATTTTTGCAAGTAGCTGAAGGACGGAATGAGGTCTGCCTTATGGTTTTCTGTTATTTTACTGCTGCATTTCATATGATGTTACTTCTTGCAGTATTGCATGTTTCCCCAAGTTTTAAGACAGTTTTAGTATTAGGTTTAGAATATAGATTTAATTTATCATTGGCTATTGCAATAATCTTGTTTTGGTGCCATGAAGTGGCAACCATTCTGACAGCTCATGGGATTAAAGGCTGTTGACAGAATATTGAGCCTGTATAGATGAAAATTCATAGCCTCAAGAAACTGCATTCAGTACTAACTTTTAGTACAGCACTAATAATATAAGCATGCACATTAGCGTAACCTTGGAAAAGTCCTTTGTTTCTCCTGCAGATAAAGTAAGGCAAAGTTAAATTTGTGTGTGAAGAATATTGTTCTTTTAGAGTTGAGGTGTGAATTAACCCTAGTAGCTGACATTCACAGGTGTTCTGTTGCGAACTTTGTGTGAAGAACAGAGAATAAGAAAAAATCCGACAAAGCATTTGAAACAGCTGCTAAAACTTGTTGATCTCTTTGCCCAAGCCTTATAACAGCTTTCCTGAGCATGAACTTCATACTCACGGATACATGCAATTGTGTCGCCCTGTAAGTCTTCCGGTGGCACTGTCCATTCACCAGCTTGGCACTTTGCTTCCATCGCACCTTTTCCTGACTTGAGTATGTACCCTTCATGGCACTTTACCTCCAGGCTTACTGGAGTGACGATGACGTTTCCATTGAGTGCCAGTAGGTCCGGGCAAGTACGCCGCTGGCAGTTTTCCCCGGTGAAACCCGGCGCGCAGTTGCACAGCCCCGAGGCAACGCAACTGCCGCCGTTCTGGCAGCCGAGGTTGCCGCAGTCGCCTGTTTGATATTCAATTAGTAGCGAGTATATCCGCATTCAAGGTGTCCATAATATACAACACGATACTGTGATCTTCGCCAACATTTATTTTATTCCACTTCTTTCATTTCCCAGTGACTGGTGTGGCCATAATACATATTGGCAAATCTTGATTCCTTCACTACGCGAGGAAGGACCTTGGCGCCTCGTCGCCTGAGCCTCCCTCTCCCTGTGGCATTCCCATCCGCTCCTTCCCAAGGCGATTCATGGCGGCCACACCTCAACCCATATATCACTGGATGTACAGTTATTCTCATTACCATCGTTATTACCAGTAGCAGTTGTTATTGCATAGAATAAGTCAGATAATGATTATACAGGTAAATACGATAGTTGTAGAAGAAATATGAATGAGAATGAATATCTTCACAATACAAGTGATACATCTCTTGTATCGTGAGGATATTCATTCTCATGCATACCTTTTCTACATTTGTCAACGTGAATATTGTTCAAATGCGATGATTGTAAACATGACCTCAATGAGGATGATGGCAACAATAATGTTGATGCAGCAACAACAGTGACTACAGAAACGACAACAATAATCAAAATGATGATCATGATACAGCTACAGTAAATAATAATGCTAATGATGGGGACGATAATGATAACGATAATGATGATCAAAATAATAATAGTAATGATAATGATAGTAGTAATAATAATAATGATAATTATTACGGTCGTTATTACTATTATCATTATTATCATTATCAGTATAATAATAATAATAGTGATTATTATTATCATTATGATAACCTTAAAGATGCTGACGGCTCTGCTGCCATCATATAAATGATAATTAACATAATGATGATAATGATAATATTAACAGTAATAATATGATAATGATAATAATTATGATGATAATATTATCATGTAATATTATCATCAACAATGATAATATCATTATAATGAAAATTATGATAATGATAATAATAATAATAATATAACTAATACTACTAATAATAAATGTAATAGTAGTAATGATGACAAAAATAATCGTAATCATAATGATAAAGGTAATTATGATTACATTCTGCAACTCGTCGCATACGCTTTTCCAGAAACACATTTCAAAATCCACTGAATTTGGCATCGATGTGCTCTGCTGTCAGCGCTTATGCATGCTAGTGTCCATCGGCGAAACTAATAGATAAGCACTACATGAGAGACCGAAAACGCTTATGATTTGCTCTTTTTTATACCGAGTTTAGCCTGAGCTACCCGGTAGTGGTTAAGTCTTTTGTATTGTATGGTAGGGATTTATTCCCATTATGACATAATAAGATGGTGTTGATAAAGTTCAATTTAGTAAGTAGTTATATGTAAATACACATTATCTAAGGGGTGGGTAAAGTGAAATTGTTTTAAAAGTGTCTTCACATTCCAGCATGATCTTGGTACATTGTGCAGCTAATTGGTATTTTTCTTCTACAGGTGTATCCGGCAGATCTTGAAACTGAGGTGGTCTTATCCTGTTGAGTACTGGACAGTCAAGTAAATAGTGGAGGAGTGGTTCATCTATTAGGGCCTCACAATGTTGACAGTCTTTGGGAACCCGGAATTCTATTTCCCAGGTGTATCTATAACCTAGGTGGAGTCTGTGTATGATGACAGCATCACTTCGTGGCATAGATCTAGGGATGGATATGGACTCTTAGTCGGTGGTGGTGCGGTACCATTTAGCTGACGTGGACCCAGCTTGCACCCCGACTAGATGAGGAACTCTGGAGATCTCATGTGCGGTCGCTCTTGCTAGAGATTTTACGCTGCTAAGACTAGTTTTGATGGTCTTAATGTGACTATATGTGAGGCTGTCTTTGGCAGCCTTGTCTGCTACCTCGTTGTCCTGGAGTCCCACATGACTGGGAATCCACATGAAGTTAGTTGATTTTCCCTGTTCCCTTTTTTGAATGATCTTGAATTGAATGGTAGTTACTATTAATATGTTATCTGAATGAAAATCCTGTTGTAGTACATGGAGTGCAGATAGTGAATCTGTTAATATATAGACTTGGGAGTCATTCAATAGAAGGGCATGAGTGAGAGCTGCTTTAATAGCATACAGCTCAGCTTGTAACGAAGAGGCTCCATCGCTGATTCTGGTGTTAAAGACATGTCTCTGGTGTACGAAGGCTGAGTCGGCTTTGTTGGAATAACAGTCAACAGATCCGTCAGTGTATATAGTATTGCAAGATCCGATTCATCTTTCGGGGAGTGGATTTGTCTCTCCAAGTTTAAGAGGTCAGTGGCAGATGCTTGTGATTTAGGTCTTGGTATAGTATGTTTTATGAAAGAAGATGTAGGAGGATGCCAGGGTGCTGGTAAGGAGTAGGCAGGGTGAGGATGATCAAGTCCTCGTTTCTTTATAGCTTCAGAGAGATTAAGGTGGTCCAGGGAGCTAAGGATATGTTGATGCCATGGCAGGTCATGAAGAGGGAAGTCTTGAGGGTGGAAAACAAGATTGTGGAGCTTAGAATCTATTGGTGATAGGTTGGGTCTGGACACAAATTTCGCAATTTGTGTAGCCACCTGGAGATCTATTCTGGTTTTCAAGGAGACTAGCTTAGTTTCCAGACATAGATTTTCTAGACAAGTTCATCTTGGTGCTCCAAGGATGACTCATGCATTTGTTTTGAACTGTTTCGAGCTTCATAAGTTGAACTGGAGTCAAAGCTTTTAGGGAGGTGGCACTATAATCAATGATAGAGCGAATTCCTTGTATATAAAAGGTCCGGAGAACATGGAATCCGGCTCCCATTTCCGTGGCAGAGCGTCTGCAGAGAACATTAATCCGAGACTTGGTTTTTTGGAGAACATGGCGGAGCTGTGCAGAGGAGTCACCCTGACTATTAAAGACCTCTCCAAGACATTTATATGTCGATACACATTGAATTTGCTGTGTGTCTATGTATAGGTATTGATTGGGTATCCACCGTCTGAGTTGTAAGGCCTTGGTTTTGTTGGAGTTAATCTTGAGGCCAAGATCTTTACATCTAGGGTAGATTGAGTCTAGAGCTTGTTGGGTATGGATAAGTCGGAAATTTCCGGTTGATATTATTTGTATATCATCTGCATATGCAAGAATGTGAACGTCGAGTGGTAGTGGTGATGACAGTACTTCTGCTATTAGAATGTTGAACAGGAATGGACTTAGAATGCCACCTTGAGGGGTGCCATTTTCGAAATGGAGGAAAGTGGATATATGACCTTGGAATTTAACTCTAGCCTTCCTTTGTGTAAGGTAGTCTTGACACCAAGCCAGTAAGTTGCCAGTGACTCCTCTTTCAGCTAGGATGCTAATATTAGCATCCTTGTTTGCCAACTCAAAGGCTTTTTATAGGTTAATGAAGACGATGATTGCATCTCTCCCATCTGTGAGACTATGAATGGCAGCTAAACTGTCTCGAGTGCCGATTCCTTTGCAGTATGGAAAGGTATACTAATGTGGCTGGGGGGTCAGAAACCTTAACCTAATTAAGACAGCTCTTTCCATGGTCTTGCAGAGGCAGGAAAGGAGGGATATAGGGCGGTATGCGTCTGATCCAGGCTTCGGGATCGGTTGAATAATTGCCTCTTTCCAGCACTTAGGAAGGCAGCCCGCTGCAAGGGATTGATTGAAGAGGTGAAGCAGGAAATGCGTGGCGTGTGAACCAAGATGATTGATCATAGAGTAGGAAACTTTGTCCTGTCCTGGGGCTGTGTCCCTTCCAGTCTTGATAGCAGCCTGCATCTCCTATGTGATGAAGGGTAAGTCTGTTTCAGCAGCTGTGTTCATGGCCTCTGTAATGGATCTAAGTCTCTCAGGTCTGAGAGTATCTAGTCTATTTATAGTGGAGCGTGGAAGAATGTTGGTGTCTCCTCTGGTCTTTAAGGAGTGTATAAGCTCTTCAGCAATGTCTTAAGCTTGAGGGTAACACAACTGCATCTTATGTTTTCCTGAGGCAATGTTAAGCATTTTCCACATTTCCTGTAGTGATGTGTGGGCATTAATTGATTCGCACCATTGAAGCCATGATTTGGTCCATATTTCTTGAATCATCTCTTTTATTAGTTTGATGGCTGTCCTGAAGCTTGTCAAAAGGATGGGAGAGGGATGTCGTTTAAGCATTCAACAAATTTGAAGGAGACTATGTTTAAGTTCTCCGACTCTGTCAGTATGGAACCACTTATCTTTAGACTTATACAGAATGGGAGCAATGGAAGAGGTGGCAGCAGAATGTATGGCATTGGCAATATCTTCTTCAAGATTATCAATGTCATCTGATGGAGAATAATTGGAATACCAATCGTCCATGGAAGCAGAGAACCGACTCCGGTCTGCTCTTCTGATCCATCTGGGAATGGGAGGAGGTGGATGGAGGCGAGGTGCATCAAGTGATGTGACAGTAGCAAAGTGATCCCAGGAAAGATAAGGGTGGATAGTCCAATCAGTAGATGGGATTAAGTTGGCAGAAAGAAAGGTAAGGTCAAGAACTTCCCTTCGGGTGTGCGTTGGAGTTCCTGCGTTAAGAACCGACGCAGATGGAAAATTATGGAGTAATTGAGCAAGGTGTTGTCCTGATCTGCATATATTATTTGAAGAGCTGGAGTTAAGATCATTCCATATTGGATGATGGGCATTGAAGTCACCACATAAAAATGAAGGGGCACTTCCTGAGGCAGCGAATACGTGGTCAAGTTTTAGTTTGGCACTATATCTTGGAGGTCGATAGATGTAAATCTGAAATTCTAGGTTTTGAAGGGCTACTGAGTCTTTGAAACTGGACCACAGGGGAGAAAGGGATCAATGGGTTTAACTTGTATATCTCGTCTGACAAGAATGGAAATGCCACAGTTCAATCCCTCTGTGGCGTTGCCCGCAGGGTTCACTTTCACTCAGGAGGGGACGCTAAGGTGGAAGCGGTCAGGGTACATTGGAGATACTGAAGAATGCGGCAACTCGCGGCAATCTCCGAAGATCCAACATTGTCTTCAGTTCAGCTTCTATTTCGGATCCTTGGTACCCTCATTAACAGCTTGGATGACCAGCTACGGAGGACTCCGAAGCCTTGTACCCTCGCACACAGTGTGGATGCCAGCTCCGGGACGACGTGTTTGGCCAACTTTTACGGCAACAAAAGCTGATGAGCGACGAGTCTAGAGCTTCTCTGGCAGAGATGTTATCTCTATGAAGGCTGCAGCAAAAGAGGGTCATCAGCTCGCAGCCTTATTTTTGATGAGAGATGGTGCCACCTCCTCATCTGAGTGGTGACGTCACACATGCATGCCACTCAGACCTGCCTAGACTTTTGTGGCGGAGAGTTTATGGATGGGGGGTGGGGGGGCTCCCCAACAACATAACAGTGGCAAAAACGCTTGAATGCCGCACTTCACTCATCCTGAAAGTTTTTTTTTTCTAATTATCCTTCATGCTCTTCCCCCGTACTCGTGACATAGTTACTGTTGCCTTTTTTTTTTTTTTTTTAACAATTTGACGATCTGGAATTCCCTTTCACAGTGAAGGGCAAGATAAAACTATTAACATTATGAAAGTAAGCTTAAAGAGAGTGGATATCATTACTGTAGTTAGAGTATTTTTATGATGATAATGAGGATGATAACAATAACGAGAAGAATTATGATGATAGAAATAAAGAATGATATTGATGATAATGGAGAAATTAATGGTAATAAGATAATGATAACAGTAATGAGAATAATTGTCATTTTGATAGGAAATATGAGGATAAGGAATATCTTAACATTGAAATATTGAAGGCAATGATATTAACTATTTATCAGTCTAGATTACACCGCTATCATTACTAGGACTTTTTTAGAGACGCTCAAAATTTATTTTGATGAATTTGGAAAATGTGCTATTGAATTCTTGAGCTGATTTTCACTATAGCTTCTTGGTGATTATCCCGTTTTTATCTGGTAAATACAACACAACAACAGCTGTTCATGACAGTTTAACACAACACAGTGGACCACCACCAGGAGACTATGTTGGTTATGCTGTTGAATATATGAATAAGCACCTTTTGTTCAAATATCAATTCAGTTGGGATTAATAAGCATTATAGCATGAAAGAGGATTTCCAGTGACTTGACTTTATATATATATTTTTCTGAACATAAAATTCACACTTACGGATACATGCAATTGTGTCGCCCTGTAAGTCTTCCGGTGGCACTGTCCATTCACCAGCTTGGCACTTTGCTTCCATCGCACCTTTTCCTGACTTGAGTATGTACCCTTCATGGCACTTTACCTCCAGGCTTACTGGAGTGACGATGACGTTTCCATTGAGTGCCAGTAGGTCCGGGCAAGTACGCCGCTGGCAGTTTTCCCCGGTGAAACCCGGCGCGCAGTTGCACAGCCCCGAGGCAACGCAACTGCCGCCGTTCTGGCAGCCGAGGTTGCCGCAGTCGCCTGTTTGATATTCAATTAGTAGCGAGTATATCCGCATTCAAGGTGTCCATAATATACAACACGATACTGTGATCTTCGCCATTTATTCAATATTACATCTTTTATCTTTCAGTGACTGATGTGGCCATATTAAATATTGGCAAATCTTTATTCCTTCACTGCGTAAGCGAAGACTTTGGCGTCAATATAACTGTTCATATTTTGGTTATCAATATCAGTACCATTACTGTTATGATATTTTCATTGCTACTGATGCTATTTTCATAATTTTTTGTATTGTTATTACTATCATTATTTACATTGTTAATGGTAGCAGTAGTAGTATCATTATTTTCATTATTGCTAAAAATGCATTGTTAGTAACAAGCGATTGTTATTGTTATTATTATCATGCATTAAAAGAGGCTGGAAAACATCTTGGTGACTTACGCTGACACCTAAAATTGTCTGGGAGCTCCCAGGCACCGTCCCTGCAGAATGCAACTCCTCCAGGCACCGTGCCAAGGGGAAGAACGTATCCTTCGTGGCACTTCACCAGGAGTTCGTCGTCGTCGGTGCGGGTAAAGCTAGCCTGCGCGTCCGGGAACGAAGGCTCAGGGCACTCTCTCACCTCGCAGTTCCTGCCCCTGTACTCAGGGCTACATTGGCATTGGTTCGGGGCTACGCAAGTGCCACCATTCTGGCATCCTTTCTTGCAGTGAGCTGAAAAGCAGAAATACAAAGTATCATTCTATAATGTGTCTTCATGAAACAAGCATTTTATCCTTGTGCAGATACAGTTTCGCTGCACATTATATTCACTCCTTTTATTGAGAGACAAAGGGAGGGAAGCGAAATGGACGCATGCACTCACGGACACAGTTCGGAGCGGACTGACGCCAAGGTCTGCCGGCGTAATTAAACTGCCCCGTGTCTTGGTTGCACGTGATGTAAATCTTGGACTTGCCTCCTTTAAATCTGTATCCTGAATTGCACATGATCTTGCAACGGCTGCAGGGAGACGTAAGAAAACAGTTTTTTTTATAATACTGATTCATTATCACCCACGGGTACTCCTACTATACAGTGGTATTTTGTTATAATCAAATCTAAAATTTCTTTATCATTATTACCATTATTGCCATTTTCAATATGATTATCATCACTACCGATGTCGTTATCATTATTATGACCAATATTCTGGTTATCTTTATTATTATCATGATAATCATTGTAACTGTTGTAACTGTAACTTTTGACCATTATCATAGTTGCGGTTGCTATTATTATTATTGATCGCTATTGTTATTATCATAATTATCATCTTCATTATCATTATTGGGGGTAGCATAGCTCAGTGGTAGAGCGCTGGCTTTGCAATCGCATGGTCCTGGGTTCGCGCCCGGCTGCCCCTCAGGCGACTCGGCCGCGAATGAGCGCTGGTATGCAGCCGACAGCATGCAGGGTCGGAGTCGGGGCGCAGAGGAGCTGGCCGCCCGACCGCCCGACTGCATCATCGGATTGGTAAGCGTTTCTCTATAAAACATGTCCCTGACGTCCAGCCTTGACTTTGATTACCATTATTACTATTATATTGTTCTTATTTTATTATTATTATTATTATTTCTGTCACCATCATTATTTTTACTATTATCATTATTACCTTCATTATCGTTATCATTATTATTGTTACTATTACTATTGTCATCATCATTACGGTTATTATTAGCATTATCATTGTTTCTGTTGTTATTATTTTCATTACTATGTTTATTATTATTATTATTATTATCATCATCATCATTATTAGTATTATTATTGTTGTTGTTGCTGTTGTTATTATTATTATTATTGCTTTTATCATTATCATTATCGTAATTGTCACTATTATTATCATCGTTACCATTATTATCATCATTATTGCTGTTGTTATTATTATTATCATTATTGTTATTATTATCATTATCAATTATCAAAATTATTGTTGTTGCTGTAGCTCCTCTTCTTATCATTATTATCATTATCATTATTATCATTATCATTATTATCATTATCATCATTATTGTTACCATTATCATCTTCATTATCATTGTTATCAAATACTGACAATTCCGATTATTTTGATTATCATTATAGTAATTAACATTATTATCATTATCATTATTACTAGACTTCCTTATTACTGTTACTGATACTATCACCAGCATTATTGTTATCATTATTATTACCATTATCATTATCATGATTGTCATTATTATGATTATTATTATTATTATGATTATCATTATTATTGTTGTTTTGTTGTTGCTATCACTACTATTATAATCATTACTATTATTATCATTATTATCATCATTATCATTATGATTATTGTTATTATTATTACTATTATTATTATTATTATTATTATCATTGTTATTATTTTTGTTGTTGTTGCTGTTATTATAATTACTATATCATTATTACTATTATCATAATCACCATCATCATTTTATTATAATTATTGTTATCATATAATGTAGCAATGGACAGGTGGCATGTTCGTCGTGGAGAAAACCATACGATCCCTTTGTCACCAAGCACGCGTTCAGAAAGGCGACTGCGACCAGACTCACCGGAGCGCGCACTTGATGTGTCCGTTGGCCGCCACCTCGGGAGCTTGGTCTTTGGTGCAGCCTGAGGAGATGAGGAAATATAACGGGTCTCTTACGAATAAAGATTGAATGTTGAAGGAGCAATACTGACTAGATTAGATTTTACTTTTATCTAGACTAGGGGTGGCCAACCTTTTGTGATATGATCTACTTTTTTCTACAGTTACCCTTAAGCGATCTACCAGCATAATATTCAGACATATTCCATAAATGTAACTGTAACAGTGTAACATCATTATAAATATCAATATAACTTATTCCCAGAAAAAAGAGAAATATAATAATCTAAGTATCATGGGTACTTGGTTATGTTATTGCAGCTATTTGCATAACAACTTCTGAAGGACGAATTATTAACAGGTACAGTAGTGAGATCGACTTAAAACAGGCTTGTGATCGACTGGTTGGCAACCCCCGATCAAAACTATTCTACAAGAATGGATAATGTTTCTTTGAGAGAAATATAAAAATGTTCCTTAACCAGATACGAAGGTACATCGACTGACAGAGAGGGGGAGAGACACTGATTTCTATGTAGAGATGTTTTAAAAAGTGGCAAAGCACCTGGTGTATGAGGTCTTCACAACCAAGACCGGGTTCCATGATCTGAGGGGTCTGCTTAAAGAACCAGTCAGCCACTCCATACAAGCTTATGGCGGGGTCATTAAAGTCAGCTCAAAACCGTTGGCAATCCCCAGGGCGTGTGTGTGTGTGTGTGTGTGTGTCGAGATCACTATTTATTCGACATTCAAAAAGGTGCGCTGGTTTTGATTTCAAAGATGCACATTCGTCACTGAAACATTTGTTTACACATTTTTTTTTTTTATATAAATCTAAAGGCATATCAATATAGCAAAATTAAGTGTTATAACAAATAGAGTAAATTATAATACTCATTTATAAATGGTTTGTTTGCTTAAATGTTAAAAATTCATTTGGAGGAAAGCAATAAGTTTGTTATTTTAATGATTTCTCATCAGACGAGTCCTGGCCTTCCTCCTGTGAACAGGTAAGCTTAGTTATGGTTTGATAAATGTATTAACGTAATAGTTGTCTCGATTCCGTCTGATGCATATTTTTATTGTTTATTGAAATGATTATTGTTTTATAATTAGTAGGAAAAAGGGAGGGTATAGAGTTAACCTTAAAAAAAGTTTGTTGCGAATATTCCTTGTTTAAATTATGTTTATAGGTAAGATTTACAGAAAGATATGACACCTTGTTTACTGAATAAAATATTAATGGTTGAAATGTTTATATGAC